CCTGCTCCAAATGGGCCGGGCTACTCCGCTCGACTTGAGTCGGAGGTCTAGTGGCCAGTGGGGATCAAGGACTGCTCGACATGGGTCTAGCTTCTGTCCCGGTTTACTCCGGTGCTGCAGCGAAGAAGGCCTCTTTCTAACCTTGGCGTGCCCCGTGGACAGGGAGTGATGCCGACTAGTCAATGGCGCCGAAGGGTTGCCACGCACCGACACCACAGTGCCCGGTGCCCGACTCGGAGCAGCGTGCCGGAGCTGGGGTCAGCGCCGACTCCATCAGAATAGCCTGGAGCCTAATGTCCCTTTCTCTCTTGGTTCGAGGTTTAAATGACTTGCAAATCTTGCAGCGATCGCTGGGGTTTCCCCCAAACAGCGTAGACAGTCCACGTGCGGATCACTTAGTGGCATAGAACGCCTACAACTGTCGCACGACTTAAAACCCGGAGCACGGGGCATGCCCCAGCCAGGGTGCTCTAGCTAAACTAAACTAACTAAACAATTAACTAATTACAGGTACCATACACTGAACGAACAAGCAGTTTTGGGGATGACGTACAGCAAAGCTAGAGCAGAGCAGTTCCAAAGCACCTTCACTGGCGGAAAGAAGGAACCGAGGATGTGGGGGAGCGTGCAGCACCCCTTATACTGCACCATGGATGCGCCACTCCAGGGGTCACTGGGGCGCTCCCCTATGGGTACTGCTAGGGGAAAAACTTCCGGCACTGGTGCACGTGGCGAACACACACATCTATTGTGGTATACACATGAGCAATCACACGAAGAAGAACTACTTTGGATAAATAAAACCTGCATAACATTCAGTAAAGATTTTAGCATAGCAAAAAAATCAGTTTTTAAAGCGAATATCTGAGTCTATTGCAACATTTTATTTCTAAAATATTTCTTCAGCTTTCTGGATAAGTCTCTCCTTTCACTGTTTCAGACAAATGTTTCCCTTCACAACAATTCACCCTTACAATAAGCATGGAAAATACTTTCACCAGCGCTTTACTATGTCCCTTTCACCAAATTTAGAACTGTTTGGGTGGGGAGGGGATTGGTTTCTTTAATCCTGAATTATTATTAATCTCTAGCCAATGGTCATGGTTAAATAAATGAAATGTTTCCCACACAAGTACTTATAGAAAGGAGGATATTTCTATTCTGATGCATGTCAGTCAAGGAAATGTGATGCTTCTGAGGGCTTGTCTTCACATACAGCACTACTGTAGTTCTGTATGTGAAGAGGCTCCTATGCCAGAGGGAGAGTTTCTCCGGTCAGTGTAGTTAATCCACCTACCTGAGAGGAGGTATCTATGTCGATGGGCGAAGCCCTCCCATTGACATAGTGTTGTCTACAAAGTGCTGTCAGGCACTTTATTTGCAGTGGCTTCCAATTCATTTCTTGTACAATTCAAGTAGTTGGTTTTGACCTATGGAACAGCTGGGGTCCGGGCTACTTCAGAAACGGCTTCTCTCCTCATAATCTTATAGCTGGGATCAACACTCAGATTGACAGATTTGTACAACCGAGAGACAGGGGCAGGGCATTCCTGGCAGAGTGCCCAAAACTCTGGAACTTGCTGTACTCCCTCGTCTAACAGCGCCCAAGTTCATGCACCTTCAGAGCATATTTACTTCAGCTATTCCTGATGGTGTGGTTTAAGTGAGCAGGTTGTAGGAAGGAGGTTGTTTTGGTTTTGGGGTGAGGATGGGGGTAGAGTTCCAGATGGCTACAGATATTTTCTGCTGCACAAAACAGTAGGTAGGGAGATGCATCTAATATCATTTTCATATGAAATGAATATTAAGATCCAGAGTAGAAGTGGGTGAAGCAATATTAAAAGCTGTAGGCACAGTTTTAAAGAAAAGGGCTGTTCTAAAACAGTTTTGACATAAATCTGCCTGCATGGCCATGACTTCTGACCACATTCCACCCACAGCTACACCAGCTTCTCTCTAGTTCTTTTAATAAAAAATCCAAAACGTGTTTTGGAAAACTTCAGGTTTCAGTACTCTGAATGTTAACACTGAAGTTGTTCACTATTAACATGAGACACCTAATGAGTTGAGCACAAGTGTGCACATTGAAATTTATTGATTCATCATGTTACTGTTTTCAACCAATAAGTGGCCAGGAGAGGTTCAATGAGTGAACAAACAGAATATATTGCCACACACATTTGTTACTAGATCACTCTAAAACAGCAATACATTTTACTAAAATGCTCTCTATGTAACATATATGATCAATAAGTTAAAGGAGTCCACCTTCCAGCTCCTGTGTGCTATAAATCAATCAGTGTGAAAGGTCTACTAAGTAGTCTTCTTTACTAAGATTATTTTAGTTATATTTACAAATTACATTGGATCCATAGATCTTAATGGCATATACATTCACATGTTCCCTTCATATATATTATTTAAGCAAATATCAATTTATGTAATTGTTGTTCTGGTGCTCAAATAACTGAAGCAGAAAGAAAATACTCAAACAATTCTAATATGATAGCTTATTAATATAAAATACCCAGAAATATAGGATATTCTCGAGGAAAAAAAACGGCAATTTAGAACATTCAGCAAATCATATGTAACAGACGTTCAATTGTATACCATATGCTGTTAAAAAGTTAACTTAAAAACTAAACAACTTTTGTATTAAAAATTAACATCTCTTACTGTGCTAAAATATTAATAGTGGAATGAACATGAAGTCACAGACATGCAAAAATAGTGGAAGGAAGAGGCATGAAATACCACAGAGTATGAAACATGGAAATGTTCAAAACCCAAATGACCTTTTCTAAGACTAATCACTGCTTGATCTGTTCTATGAAAATGATTATCATGAAAACTTGCAAGGGTAGAAAATTTGTAAACCTAAAATGGAGCTTCAAAGTAGGATTAGTTTAAGAATTTCTCTCACTCACATGCTTAAGGCATTATTTATTTACAATACATTTGGCACCATTTGAACCTATAGTTTTGATAGTGTTATTTAGTTTACAGCTGAACTAGCAGGAGAATAGACTAGAACGATCTTTTCTTTCCTACATTTTATGCTTGTACTATACAATCCAACTGATTGATTATTTTGATACCACATATTACCATAACTTTGCTTAAATGCTTGAGCCAATTTTAAGGCAACCTTTCCATGCAAACCAACAGTAACTTTTAAATAGCTGAATGCATTATTTGCAGTCAGTTTATACATGCTAATATACAGAGAAGTTCACAGTTACACCTTAAGGCTGACTCAACTGCCATTTAACTCACTGAAAAGGCAGTTTGATTGGGCCCTATATTATAACTGCCCCAGACAATCACATTGGTGACGAACGGGAAAAACTTGCCAGGAGCCCCTCCTTCCCTCATGCTTCCTAATGGGAAAAAACCATCAACTGGAGTGCAGCAGGGGTACTACTAGCACTACTGACAGCCCCGATTGGCCAGTAAGTCTGTTGGGGTAGAGGGTGCCTGGAGAATTGCACTAGTGCAGTGTTTCCCAAACTTGGGATGCCGCTCGTGTAAGGAAAGCCCCTGGCGGGCTAGGCCGGTTCGTTTACCTGCCGCGTCCGCAGGTCCGGCCTATCGCGGTTCCCATTGACCGCAGTTCGCCGCTCCAGGCCAATGGGAGCTGCTGGAAGCGGCGGCCAGTACGTCCCCTGGCCCGCGCCGCTTCCAGCAGCTCCCATTGGCTTGGAGCGGCGAACCGCGGCCACTGGGAGCCGAGATCGGCCAAACCTGCGGACGCGGCAGGTAAACAAACCGGCCCGGCCCGCCAGGGGCTTTCCCTGAACAAGTGGCGTCCCAAGTTTGGGAAACACTGCACTAGTGGAAAGGTGAGAGGGAGCGCACACTACACATTTTCAAAATGCGTTGCAGAGGCCACTAGTAAGAGTGCTTTGCCCTTCCCCCACTCAGGGCCCCTGAAAGCATTTTGCCTATTCTGCCATTTTACAGATGGGTGAACTGACACGACACCTGAAGAGATTACAGCCAAAATGTTCCAACAAAGGTGCCTGTATGTAGGCACCTAAATGCATATTTAGCCATGTAGGTCAAAGTAGCTTGATTTTCAAATTCTCATTAACTTCAATGGGAACTACAATTTTGGCACGTCTGAAATTCAGATCACTTTGACTTAGGTACCTAAGTACAGATTTAACTGCCTCACTTTAAGGCACCTAGACTTGAAAAAATAAGCATAAGTGACCTGCCCAAGGCCATACAGCAAATCAGCAGCAGAGCCAGATGTAGAATTCAGGAGTTCCTGGCTCCTAATCAAGTGCTCAGTCCACTACACGCTGCTACCCTTCATAAATAAATAGTAGGAACAAGAGCATGTTATCCTCAGTCATCACCAGGCCACCTCATTCACCTGAAAAAAAATGAGCAGATCAGTATGAGGATAAATATCATACACATCTTAAAAACCCAATGCACCTGTCTGTTCTTAGCTCACTCTTCTGGAACCTCTCACCCAGCAGTACTTCCCTTCCACCTTTCCTGCACTCTCATTTGGCATTACACTCTGGCAGCTCAGCTCTGTTCATCAGCGTTGTATTAGTGCATGGGCCACTTTCATGTTTTATTTTATCTTTTAAAAAGTATTCTGGAGTAGCCCTGAGGCAGCAGACAAGCTGATGCCAAGAGAAAAAATAATGAGGTATTGGCATAAATGTCACAGCCTGACCTATATGCTGAGTATATCAGGCTATGATGCTTTCCAGATTCATTCTATTCACCTGAAATCTGGAACCTCAGCTCTCAAAACACCAAGGGTGAAATCCTGATCCCACTGGAGTCAATGGGAGATTTGCCGTTGATTTCAGTGGGGCCAGAATTTCACTTCAAAGGTTAGCAACTCCAAACTCACCCAGGCCCCTTTGTCTGGTATCTTGTCTATTTAAAAAATGTAGAATTTGACATAAAGATGAATTAAAAGGTTTGAGAAATATGCCAACATACAGCAAAGCAGGGTCTGTCATACGCACTTGTGTTTCTGTGAGAATGGCATGCAGAGGATGATATGGTTGAAGATGGTGGTGAGGATGATGGTGGTGAGGATGAGGTCTCATCTAAGCCTTCTGGATTTATCCAGTAGGCACGAGTATCCCGATTACCTTTCTTACTAGTACAGCTGATGTCACACTGGAAAACATCTTCACAGCTATCACTGTGCAAACGCTCTTTCTGGAGAAGTTTGTCCACTCTCTGAATAATGCACTCCAGACTTTTGTCAACATTCAACCAAACTTTTTCCTTGAAAGAAAAACATCCCCTTTTAAATTATGAAGATCCCAACATTAGATGACAAGTACATTTGCAAAAAAGAGATACTTTGCCCTGCTGTGGTTCTAGACATAATTGCTTAGGAAAGTTTGCACTTTGCCATTGCATTTATACATACATACTCCATATGTATCTATATAAGTTAAAGTGACATCCAAATGGTAAGCTGCAGAGCTGTGTGATAAATTTGTCATACAATTCTGACTCTCTTAAGCCATCTGCCCACTAATCCATCTCCCCAGGTATTATTTTCAACTTAAAATGCACTTTTTTAAAAAAAACAATCAACCTAACAGGGAAAATGTTTCTTCCTCCTTCAGCCAAATGTAGAATTTTCTTCTCAAAAGTTACACCTGCCTGAGGTCCAGAGTTAAAGTTTAGTCCTGGGCCAGTGACAGCTTTTCGATCCCTAAAAAATTGTTACTTTAAATTCCAGTGCCTATGTTCTTGCATAACTAGAAATGGAACTTAGTACCACTGGAAAGGGAAGTCCCCAGCTTCCCAATGGGACCCATCACTCACTTCTAGCTTTAAAATGGCTAGAGAGAGCTTACTTTAAAGCCTTGCTATTTTTAGGTACAGAAAGACTATTTTAGTTCATTTTAGAGGGTTTTTTGGTGTCTCCCTTTTGAACCCTGCATAGTTTGACTCATTGGCTACAATTTTCAAACGTGGCCTCTTATTTTGGTGCCCGAATTGAGACCCCTTAGGCCTGGTTTTCAGAAGTGCAGCACACACATCTGCAACCTCAGCTGAAGTCAATGGGATTGTGGGTAATCAGTAATTTGAAAAATCAGCCTCTAGGTCTCCTAAGCCTGGCACCCAGAAACTGAGACTTTCAAAGTCACAGGCTACTTCTAAAAAAGTTAGCCAAAGTAACTAAGGTATCTGAATTTACAGCTGAAGGGATACAAAAATAGTTCCAATAACAAATTTTAAAACTAAGACATTCCTACAAGATTTTCCTGTAACAGAGGTTGTGGTATAAAGATTTTATTGGCATTCATTTGGGATGGCCTGTATAACGCACTTATGAGTAATGTGGCCATTCCAAACTCATCCTGATAAAACCCTTATACCACAGTATCACGTATTTTTATATGTAGCTGGTGTGTCTACACACACACACACACAGTACATATATGAATATAAAAATACACGATACTGTGGTACACACCCATAATTTCCCATACATACTATTATAGCAGAATATAAAATCAATAAGCCATCAGATACAGAAGGAAAAGTTTACATCATTGTTATATGATGTGTCTTGTACCCAATATACACTTAATTGAGTAAACCAATAAGTAGTGCAATATTAGTAACCTAATGAACTTTATGGGCTTCATTTGAAGGCCACTGAAGGGATCAACCCTATGAGAGTCTATTTTGGAGGTAGCTCTGAAATGTAGTTTGACATTATTTCTTTTCCTCCTGTATTTTATAGGGTTAACCACTATTCTAATCAATTTCAACAGTTTTAACAAAGATTGCATTCACTTCTGTTTCACTTTCCACTACACTACAATGTTAGGACAGCTCAATTCTCATTTAAATTGGCAACATTAGATGGAAAGTCATTTAATTCTTGGCATGACCTGTTTTAAAAGGCAGCTCATAATTAAAACAGAAACAGACACCTCACTTAAATATTTAGATTAAAAAACCAGGAAAGCCTTTGAAAAGCTGTTTTTCATAACTAATATCTAAGAGTATATTGCAAGAGTTCTATTTTTTATGTTTTCTTCTTTTTTGGCTGTGTATGGAGATTGATAAAGGGACACCCTGCACAATGTTTCTTAATTGTTTCATTAAAAAGAATACTCAATTAACTCTCAATATAGAACTGACTGCAGGACAGCCAGGTGGCCCAAGTGACTGAGGGCAGGTCTGTACCTAAAATGCTGCATTGATGCAGCTGCGTCACTGTAGCGCTTAAGTGAAGATGCTCCTACACCGACGGGAGAGAGTTCTCCTGTCGCCGTAGTTAATCCACCTCCCCGAGAGGCAGTAGCTGTGTCGATGGGAGAAGACATTGACATAGCACTGTCTACACGGAGGAGTGGGGGTTAGATCGGTATAACTTAGTTGCTCAGGGGTGTTGATATTTCACATCCCTAAGCAACATAGTTAAACCAACATAGGTCTGCAATGTAGACCTGATCTGACTCTGCTATTATGCAAGAGACTCAGACTAATTTTTCAGTGCCTGCTTCTGCTCCTGCTGATCAAAGGGCAGACAGAGAGAGGATGAAAGGAACATTTCAAGACACTTATCAGCGACCCCTTTGGATATCTAAAAACATGTCTACCTATGAGGACTACAGTGGCATTGCTAAGGCACCATACCCCGTAGTGTAGATGCAGTTGATAGTGACGGAAGGAATTATTCCATTGCTGTCAGGACCCCACCTCCCTAAGCTACAGTAACTAGGTCGAGAGAAGCATTCTTTCATCAACCTAATTGCGTCTACACTTAAAATATAGGTTGGCATAGCTATGGCACACGGGATGTGGATTTTTAACACCCCTGAGTGCCTACATTTTAAGTGTAGACCAGACCTAAAACATGCAGTGTTGTGCTCCAAAATAAGACTTGTAGATATCGGTGACCTGTGGCTAGTAGCTACATGCTAAGGGGCATAGGGCTAGGGAATAAAGGGATACTAAAAGGGAAAAAAGTAGATGACATCAGCAGGCGGCATCCCTCCATTCAGCAAACCTACCCATTCCTCTTCATGCCAATCCACCTGCAGAGAAGATCGGCTATTTCTTCCTGTCCATCTTGCCACAAGAGTGTCTTGATCATTCCTTAGCATCACTTGTTCCCCCTCTCCAGCGGTTGGAGATGCCTTTGAGGCTATATAATCTGGCCTTGCAGCATTTAATCCATGTATTGAATTTGCCAATAACTTGCAATCACAGACAGTGACAAGCTGCCGTGTCTAAAAACAATAGAAAACAGAATTTGAAACCATTTTCACTTTTAAATCCTTATCTACATTCTTATTTTTTCATTAAAAAAAAACCTTCATTTTGAGTTTGTGCTTATTTTGCAGCAGGGACTTAAAAGGATGTATAGGAAGCAAAAATGTGAAGTGTAATTTTCAAAAACGTGTACTGACATTTTAGGACTGCACATGCTGAATATTTAACAAATATCTACAGTTCCTAGTGCCTCTACCTAGAGGCAGCACTTCATTTTCTGTTAAGTGAAATAGTCTTTAAAAAAAAAAAAAATCTCAGGCACAGTCCACAGAAATTGGTCTCCTCTGGTATGGCAAGGTTCCATTTAGTTTAATATCCCGTCTCAGTCGGCGGCTAATGATACATGCTTCAGAAGAAGGCATGAAACATCCACCTCACTGTGCAATACTGTACACCCCGGCGGGAATTTCTTCCTTATTTTGGCAAATGATGTACGTAAGCCCTGAAGCATGAGGATTGCTGACCTACCTTTCTCCTAGATAACATACCGTCAGATACTATTCTTATTCACCTATTTTAAAAAAAGCTTACTAAACTATGTGCCTTAACAATATCCAGCAGCAGAGAATCCACAGGTCAGATATACGCTATATACAAGTATTTTCTTCTGTATATTTTTAACTTTAATTTCATCACATACGTCCTTCCATTATGGGAAAGTATACAGGCACCCTAAGTGGGTATACAGTAAACTGACTATCAAATGCATTCTCTGTCATAGGGTACTGCTTATTTATTAGCTATGCTTTCTTAGAACTCAGAATACTACAACAAAATAACTCTAAAACTGCATTTATTCTTGTCCTTGTAAATAAGTTTCATTCTGATTGCCTGTTCAGTCCATTTTTATTGAGTGGAGTGTAGCCCAGTGGGCCAGCTTATCTCTATTATAGTCACTGCTTTGCATTATATTCTGCTTTATTATATTCAGCAGTAATGCAAGGAACCTACAGGCTTGTATCCTGTAAGTCATTGGCTTAAGCTGTTAGCATGAGGCTTGAGGCCTATGACCTTTGACATAGATAAACTTAAGTAACTCATAAGTTTTGGAAAATTGGAAATAGAGTGTGTGTGTGGGGGGGGGGGGAAGTCTTATCCATAATGACATCAGCCAACCACAGAACATGAACTGATACCAGCTTCTGGTCGGAACATCCAGCCGCAAGAGTGCCATGACAATGAATTGACGTATATGATAATGGGGTGAAATCATAAATACACTGGCCTATAGAAGAAGAACACCTTAACATTGGTAAGGGGAGGAAATACAAATAAGGAAGAGGGGAGAAACTCCTACTAAATATGCATTAGTCATGGTAACGTCAGCGTAACATATTATAAAAGTGGCATCCCAGGGCAGTAGGGGTAGAGAGATGTAGCCCTTGGAGAGGCCAGAATGATGGCCACTGATGAAGATGAGGAAGGTGATGAGGAAGACAATGGCTAACATTTCAGGTTGTTCTGCAAGGGATGGTGAGAGTATGGATGTTCAGTTGTACTTTCTATATTATCTCTATCTACCTTACTGAGTTAGCGTGTCTTTGACTTTGCTAAATGTATTAATAAATTTTATCTGTAAATATAAAAGAGTTCCTCTAGTGTGAGTGTTGCACCTGTGCACATCGGGGTTCCCAACTATAAAATAATTTAAATAATACCGGGCCTAATCTTGGGACAAGAACTTGTCAACCCTCAAAGTGATAACTGGGGATTTTTATTCAATAATCTATAGATCAGGCTACAGGAGTGAAGTATTAATTGAACAGCATCACTACAATTTACCCCAAGTTCATGTCATTATTATACAAATGAAATGATAACAAAGACTCCTTGTGGTGTTCCGGTTTTTTCAAGTTCCTGTTGCATGATAGCTTATTCAGAAATGAGCTCAACAAACCAGTCAGTGGTTAAAGAGACACGCGTATGAAAGTGAATTTAGGATTTTCTTCTCTGGGATGTTGTGACTGGACACTGGTGGAGGTGATACTTTAAACTTGGGGAAGGAAGCCAATAGGTATCAGTCTTCTTTCTCAGTCCTCACCACTCCATCCATAGGAGGTGGAAGCAAGAGTGAGTGGAAGAGAAGAGAAAACCTGAATAAATGGTGGCAAATTCAAAAATCACATCTGGATTTATCTTCCAATTCCAGCTGAGTGGGGCCACAAGACAGACCATTTTGGGATTTTTCAGGGAGCTCACCAAAAAGTGGTGCTTCAGAATGTGTCTCACTTCACTTTTATCAATGATTTTGTTTTGTTGTTCTCATACCTTATCTGCCAAAATGGCAAGTGATCTTTCAAGGCCATTAGCTGATCTATCCTTGGCAGCTCTTGAGAGCCTTTCGGCATAGTAACTGACTTGAGTTTTCAGGGTGTTGATTTGTGCAATAATCTCCTTTGCTCTAATAATGTCCTGTGGTATGTATATTATAGACTGGGAGCTTGTTGAAGTGCTGAAAAAGAAGAAACAATTTAAAAACAATCTATCAGAAGGTATAAACACTCTAGTCACACTTCTTCATGCCGAAAAAGGAATTGTGGACAACAAAATTTACCTAAGCTAACAATTAACCATGGAAGACCAATGGGCAATTAAACAGCAGGAACACTTATACCTGAGCACCTCTGCATTTAATGAAAACATTCAGATGCTAAATGACTGTGCTCACAGATCACATACAGGAGGGACAATTTTCTGAGGAGAATGTGTATGACAAATTTTGCCAGCAGAGACAGAACCAGTTTCCTTAGGTTGCTTGCTCCACTCTACCTCTTCCCAAAACACATACACTTGACACAGTTACATCTGATATCTCCTTGCCAAGTTAGGAATTTTAGCCTTGTCTCCACACAACGATATCACTTTAACTACACCAGCAGAGTTAAAGCTGTACAACCCATTCTACTGTGGACAAAGTTATACTGATATCATAGTACTTACACTAGTATAGCTTATTCCAAGATGAGAAGAATAGACTACACCAGTAAAATGCATCTTTATACCAGTGTAACTGCATCCACATTAGGGTTGACCCATTATAACTATTTGGGGGGGGGGAAGCCACACCCTGAACTGAAATAGTTATACCAGTAGAAAGACTCTAATCCTGAAACTTGGGCTGCGGAGCTATAAAATTGCAGTGTAGATGTTCAGGCTCAGGCTGGAGCCTGGGGTCTAGCTCGTGGGGCTTCAGTCCGAGCCATAGATCTCCACTGCAATTTTTTGACCCTGCAGTCGGAGTCAGCTGACATGTACCAGCTGCATGGAACAGCATGCAGATGTTTTATTGTCTTTGTCTCTGCTCAGGGTGTGATAAGCATCCTTGCCTATTCTGGATCAAGTGTCAAGTCAAAGATGCCTAAACTGGCACACGTTAATTTATTTCTCCTCCTTCTCACTTCTTCCTGTCATTAATTGCTTCATTGTAGCCATTAGACATAAAAGTACCTATTGTTACTGTAAATGCCAGCTGTTGTTTGGTGAACAAAGCCATGCTTAGCATATCAGAGAGTCTAATTTCCCAGGTGCAATTGCTCCAAATCACTATCTCTGAGGAGTCTGAATTCTTTTGTTTTGGGGGAAGGGTGGGGGGAGTTAAGCCACTGATGGGGAACATATTTTAATTTTTATAAACTTTTTCAAGGAAACTAGAGGAATGTGTATTCTACTTCTGGGGGAATTCTGCACCACTGCACGTGTGCATAATTAATGTGCCATACATATTTTTACGTGTGTGTGTGTGTGTGCAGAAAATAGCTTCTGCCAGAAAGTTGCTGCAGTTCCGTGTTTTGCCCACCAGAGGGCAATGTGGTGATAGAACAGAGCAGCCGCTCCCAGCCAGACAGAGAAGAGAAAGAGCCTGCAGTGCCTTCTTCACAGTGCCTGTTGGGCCAGGTCAGGAGATAGAGTATATGGGGAGATAGACAGCCCGGGGCTGCTGGGGAGTCAGACAGGGACTCATAAGGGCTAGTGGGGGAGGATGTATTAGGACAGGAGCTGAATGGGAATGGAGGTGCAGGGCCACATGGGGACAGGGCCACATGAGGGAAGGCGGTTGGCTGATTGGGGGCACAGAGACAAATAAGGAGAGGGGGAGGGGGCGCAGGGCCACATGGAGATGGGGAAGTGGGTGTCTGAGTTGGGGTGCAGGGACACATGTGGACAGGAGATGCAGGGACGCATGGGGATGGGGCAGATGTGCCAGACTGAATGGGAGAGGCTAGGGGTCAGCCAAGGTCTGCATGGAAGAAGTTCCCTAACAATCCCTCCCCACCCCCTCAAAAAACCTGTTCCATACTTTTCACACCCATATCCAACAACCCTCCAAGTTCACACCCAAGCTCCTTCCCAGCAATTACTTCCCTCTCCCTTAGCTCCTCCATTAACCCTGACTCCCCCAAGCCTTTGCACTGCTTCTGAGGGGTACAGGAAATACGGCTCTGTATTGTAGTTTAAATTAATTATTACTCAGAGTTCTGTATTAATATGCCTAGTAAGGAATCTATTTGTCAAAAAACATTTCCTGAATCTTTTTTGTTGTCTGTAGACATACTTGCTGACAGGTATTTTGAAGTAAATTAGCAAAATAATTGAATCTAGTGTGATTATATTGTGTTATTTTGACAAATAAAATATGCAGAATTTTAAAATATTGTGCGCAGAATTTTTAATTTTTTGGTGCAGAATTCCCCCAAGAGTAATAGTCACTTTTACAGAGTGCTTATGAGATAATGCAGGAGCCTCTCATAGGGCAGACTTAAAAAGCAACTGTCCCAGAAATCAATCTGAAGGCATTTTCATAGATAAATAGATTTTAAGGCCAGAATGGACCATTATGATTATCCAGTCTGACCTCCTTTAAAAGGATAAGTACCATGTTTGAAGGATGTAATGCAGACATAACCCCTGAAACAGGCATCATTCTGTGTTCCTCTGGTCACACACCTGTCTACAGAAGGACATCTGATCCCCTACACTCCTATCCATACATGAAATAGATCTCCTTTTTAAGGACTTTTACTGCATTCTGATTCAGCCTACTCCACGGTGTCCAATGTTACTGCTGACAATTCCTCTGAGCAATTTCTTTCCACTACTGAAGAGTTAACATGCAGAAAGATGATGTATTTGGCAGGAAGGCCATGCAGCATGTTCAGATTATACTCTTATTTAAAAATAAATACATTTCCCTGGGATGATCAGAGGAAAGAAATTATTATGGCATGAAGTTCACACGTATTCATTTTCCAATCTGCAATCACTCTTTCAAATGAACAGCTGTCATTCTGCATAAGTAAGCTATATTATATGCTTAATAGATCCTTATCCTTAAATTTTTTTTAAAAAGAACACACATGCTGCACGTCACTAGATGTGTAAAGTTATAAGTAAACAATTTGCATTCTGTGGTGCTTTCAGAAGACATATATGGTCTAATCTGATCAGGGCCTGATCCAAAACCCACCGGAGACAAGATGCTACCAGACTCCTTGTTGTTTTTGTAGATACAGACTAACATGGCTACCCCCTGATACTTGACACCGGAGACAATGAGAGTCTTTCTGTTGACTTCAATGGACTTCAGATCAGGCCATAAGAAGTACGGTCATAATAATCAGCAAATAAACTCCAAGTACTTTAGCTCAAAGCAGAAGCACTGCTTCACCATCAAACCACTGATTAACCTTTCACTTTTTCTCCTACAGCACTAAACAATGTAGGAATAAAATTAAGGGGAAAAAACTGCACAAGGGTTAAGAAACAGTGTTTAAGTGCAGAGATAAATTTCAAAAATATAAACCAGGCCCATTATAACATCATAAAGGGTTAAAGTTATGTGTTATCCAGTAGAAGTGAAAGGTTCAAAAATGGTTTTGTGTAGCTTTCTCTCTGCCTGTCTGTTATCTGTTTTTCTTTGGAAGTAACAGAGGAACAGATGAACACATTGTATTATTCTAATTTGCAAAGTCTCCTGACTTCATAAAAATCAGAGAGAGGTATGAAGTTAGCTGTTCATTACAAAATAGAAGTTGCAGTTGGAAGGACCAATTCATTCATACATCATGTTCTACTAAGCATTTAAAGCATAATTAATGGTGTTATGATGCACGACATTAAAAAAATCTGCACACTTTAAAATACACCAATGTTTGCCCCATCCCAAAAGAAAAAAACAAAAAAAACCACCTCTCTCCACAAACTCTCAGAAACAGAAAACTCACCAACATTCCTCATAACTGCTAAAAAAAACAAAACCAAAATAAAATTAGCAGATTGTTTGCAAATACTGAAAGCAGAAAACAAAGCAAAGTAAGTTTGGGAAAATATTTTAAATTGCTTAATATTTTCAAAAAGGCATGTGCATACGATTAAACTTGTAAGCAAAATATACATATACTGCAGAATCACAGGCAAATGTGTTTTATTTGCTCTAGGTGCTGTAAGTGTAAAAGGAACACTCTTGCCAAGAAACGGAAAAAATAAAAGTCATTTGTACATAACACTGAAAATGAAAAAGATGAAATTAAATTCTACTATATTGGTTTGTATAGCAGCAAAGATGACCACACAAAACGGACTTCTGACTACCACTTGTATTTCCTATCTATTAATAGTGGGTTCTATTCTCCCCTTTAGAGCACACCATCCCTAAAAATGCTAATGAGAGCTGTATGTAAACAAGGAGAGATTAGACTCTGAATACATTTTATTTAGTTACCAAAACATGCTCTACAGATTTTAATGTAACACGTGATAAAGCATCCAAATGATGGGATTTTGCTATTGACAGTCTCTTGGCCTAATGACATTCAGAGATTCATACAGGGACCATTATGATTATCTAGCCTTATCTCCTACTTCGGGGTGGGCAAACTTTTTGGCCCGAGGGCTACATCTGGGTGGGGAAATTGCATGCAGGGCCACAAATATAGGGCTGGGGCAAGGAGGTTGGGGTGAGGGAGGGAGTGCGGGGTGTGGGAGGGGGTGCGGTGTGCAGGAAGGGGCTCAGGGCAAGGGGTTGGGCGCAGGAGGGCTGCAGGGTGTACGAGAGGGCACAGGGCAGGGGTACAGGAGGAGGTGCGGAGTGCGGGAAGGGGCTCAGGGCAGGGAGTTGGGGTGCAGGAGGGGGTGCAGTCCGGGACTCAGGGCAGGGGGTTGAGGTGCAGGAGGGGTGCAGCAGGGGGTCAGGGCTGGGGGTCAGGGTGCAGGAGGGGTTTGGGGTGCAGGCGCCGGCCTGGCACCGCTTACCTTGAGTGGCTCCGGGGTGGCAGCGGCGTGCAGTGGGACTAAGACAGGCTCCCTGCCTGCCCTGGCCCTGCACCTCTCCTGGAAGTGGCCGGCACCACGTCCCTACGGCCCCTGGAGAAGGGGGTGCAGAGGACTCCATCTGCGGGTACCTCCCCTGAAACTCCCATTGGCCGCTGTTTCCCGTTCCCGGCCAATGGGAGCTGCAGGGGGCAGTGCCTGCAGGCAAGGGCAGCACACAGAGCTCTCTGCCCCCCCATCTTCCCCAGGGGCCACAGGGACGTGGTGCTGGCTGCTTCTGGGAACGGCGCGGGGCCAGGGAGCCTGCCTTAGCCCCGCGGCGCCACAGGGGTGGCAATCCTGTGGGCCGGATCCAAAGCCCAGATGGGCCGGATCTGGCCCCTGGGCCATTAATTTGCCCACCCTGTCCTATATAACACAGTCCACAGAACTAACACTCGCTACAGAAACTGAGTCTGCCACTGCAGATTGACTAGCCAGTCTTACACCTGAGATACAGTATTTTTTCCATTTACCAAAGTGTTACTGATTTATTTTATTTATCACAATACTTCTGGCTTTTTTCTCCAAAGATTAAACCCTGGTGCTTTTTTTAGGAACTATTTTATGCTTCTAATTTTATACATTAGGTTTATGATGTGATGCCTGAATTACACGTATAGGCCAAGCCCCTTTGAGTCAATGTAATTTGGTTTTCCAAGTTCCGGGACATTTCATTTTTCATTCTGCTTGCAAGGCCCCAAACTATCAGAGTAAGGAATGTTCCAAAACAGTGATGCCTGGTTAAGTGGTGAGGATGAAATGCAATAAGCATACTTGATTTTCTATGCTTCTGATCAAACATATTTTAAGATTATGTTGGTAGGTACAGTGTTTGTCCCTGCTCACTTATGTGATTTGGAGATTGTCTCAAGCCTCATTACAAAAGTACTCTAAATTAATATTGTAATAGGAGATACCCAACAGACTGAATAAGGAAACTTAGGTCCAACAGAGAAAGGGCCTGTAATTTGTGCTACCTTCCAGCAAATGATATTGCCAACAGGAAAGTTACTCTCCAACATAGGATCAGAATACCTGCAACTTTGTGAAGGCCCAGAAGAAAAATGCAGGCTGGAAATGGAGTTTTTGAATAGATTTGATGGGAAAAAAAAGACATCAGTGGTTTAGGTGCTTAGATAAGTCAGTAATGAGGGCTCTATAAGTAACCAAGTAGGCAGACATAGAATGCTTCTGAGTTCTGAAGGCAGATTTTGGTATCAACAACAAAAAGTTCAGCCTAACCTATTGGATTTATAGTCTTTGCTAATCCCATCCTGGAACATCTTGTATGTCAGATGCAATTATAGGAGGCAGTTGTTAGTACTGGACTCAATACAGTACCATTACATGTATTAGTCTGACTCTAAGGTTTCAACTGGCACTGCTAGTAGCCCTATCCATTACCAAAATTAGTGCCACTGATGGTACAGTTCAGTAGCCTCCAAAAATACTGAATTGAGTGAGGTTGGTGTCCAGATCATCCCCTCTCTCTGTGCCTTCCCACCATCTCTGACCCCGAGGCAGGCTGCAAAAGTCTCCCCTTGGCTGCAGCTGCTCCTGTAGCCCCCGCAAGCGGGGTTCTACAGTAAAGATAATGCAGCCCAGAGTCATATTATCTTTCTCTTGTAAGCTCCTTGGGTATGTCTACATTGCAGCTGAGAGTGTGCCTCCCAGCCTCGGTAGAAAAGACACATGCTAGTTCTACTCAAGGTAGCAGTCTAAAAATAGCAGTGTGGGCACTGGCAATGACATGGTCTAGCTGCCCCACCCCCTAAGTCCTTTTATTCAGGTGGCTAGCCTGTGCCACTGTCTATGCTGCAACATCCACACCTCTATTTCTAAAGTGCTAGCCCAAGCAGAACTGGCACATGTCTGTCACCTGGCTGCAAGGGCATGCTTCCTGCTGTGGAGCAGAGATACCCCTTGAAGCCTGAAGGGAAACTGCGTGTGCCTTCCCCTTCAGTGCACCTGGCCTTCTCAATTTCTGCCTCAGCCTGCAGTGTGAATGGCTAACCCCCCCGGGAAGCCACGGTGTGATCAGGAGCAGGGGGCATAGTACCACAGAGGTGAATTATTCCTCCTGCAGGTTAGAAAGGGGGAGATCAGTGTACAGAGGGTCCTCTCTAGGCATGCATCTAGGGGGCACACTCTGGCCTAATATTTTTATTTTAATATGGATGGAGAACAATTAGTAACTACACAGCAGCAAAATACCTGGGGCAATATAGAGAAACCTGGAGCAACTGGCCCTATAACTAAATCCAAGTTGTTAATAAGAAACTTGCATTTGAGGAACTGCTGCTGCCTCTTAGGAAGGGTAGAACAAGTCAACTGATCTGTCTTTGCATAGAGTTCTGAAGCTCTAGGGAAGGACCAGAGGTGGATGACTCCAGCGTAGAATGGGTGTCTAAGCATGTTGTAGTTTTAGGAAATTAGTAAGAGATAGAGTCTAAGAAATTATTTTAGCCAATTTCTATCTGACTTCAGAAGGTAAATTAGAGTAATGCTAATCTCAGTTCTTCAGTTAACCACAGTCACAAATAAGGATATAGCCCAAGACAAAATTTACTTTGACTGATCTGGAAAATGCTTCCCAGATGTGCCGAGGAAGCAAGCTAAAGGGAGTGAAAGTATCAAATGTAACATACTTAAAGAGATTCCAATGATATTTTCTACCTCCACAACTAGACAGAACTTAAACTCAATTAAATCCAATTCAACACTTAAGTTGTTCAGTTTAGCTAGTTTAACAACTGTCCCGTAATATTAAATATTCCCAAAAAATAATTTGAAAAGGAACTAGCAGTAAACAAAAAACAGTGGAAAAACTGTTTTTTCTCTTCTCCCTCTTTGAAAAAAGCATAGCATAATCTTCATAGTATTTGGCAGAACTTCCAAATGGAGGTGCAACAAAAACATGGAATGTGATGATTTTGCAAAGCCTGGAGATTTTGATGAGTTTATAATATGAGTTTATAATATCTCTTCTACTTACTGTTTCTTTGCCTCTTCAAATTTATGCAGCTTTTTCCGTAGACCCCCCGATTTAAAGCCTTGACAGTGAGCTGCGGGTGCTCCTATGGTTACTATGTCATAATTCTGATCTGGATGGACAAAAAGTGCTTACAGATAAAAGTTCACCATCTTTACTTTGGTTGAATCTGTGGAAATTCAAACTACTGAAAGGTAATTTCTCAAATAGTCCTGCCAGAGACTGAAGTCTTCAGAACAATGTTGAGTGTTAAAAAGTTTGGAACTGCATTAGTGGTGAGAAGCTGCCATGTGCTACAAAGTAAAAGACCCCTGTTTGAAACCTGGACCCCTGTTTCTTGTTCTGGAAGACCTACAAAGACAATATTCCCATGTCTGGAGATGAAGGAAGATTAACCTTGATACCTCAGCCTATCATCCCCCCTATCTGAAGGATACACAAGGCAGCTAGGGTCGACAGGTGGATGGGGCTGAATATTAAATGAAAGGAGAAAATTAGGTCTTTTACAAAGAAGCAAGCTCAACCTAAACAAGTTAATGTCTTTTTACACATCTAAAGTGCAGCACACATGATGGCCCCTCACAATTAAATTAATCTAAAAAAAAAGCAACAACAGGGAGGGCCTCTGATGTCATGCCAACCAGAAAAGATCCTGGTGGCTCCTAAAACCAAAGGGGATCCAGCAGATTAATCCAGTAGATACAGCACAGGGATGGAAGGTGGGAGACTTGGGTTCTGTTCCCTAGCTCTGATGCTGATGTGCTACATGACCTTGGACAAGCTGATCTGCCATTTGGTTTTGCCATCTATAAAACTAGGGTAATGATACTTACTCTACTTTAGTAAAGTGCTTTGAGATATAAGGATGGTAGCTGCAATTAAAATGTTAAATATTATTAGTACTGCACAGAAGCTACACACTGGTTTGGGGGAAACTTAGCTCTGGATGGTGGAAACCCAAAAAAGAGAAGAATGTGTATATATATATATATATATATTTACACACACACACACACACACACACACACACACACACACACACACGAGAGAGAGAT